CTTTTTCTGTAATTGTAAAATATAATTACATATGTAGATAAAGGGATGGTATAGGCTGTTAAATGGCTAGTACAGATAATCTGGACTTTTTGTAAATGATTATACATGCATAAATTATACTCCCTAACCCAGGCCCTGAGCAATGCTCAATAATTACCAGTGCTGAATAACTTTTCAGAAAAGGCTTATATGTCTTATATGTGTTTAAAGTATTTTGATAGTATGAGCTTTCACTAAACAATTTTGTTATTTTAATGACACACTAAAATGATCACTGTGCAAAGCATTTGAAAACAATTGGACTTTAGACATGTATATGATGTACATGCATTATTAACATGCCTTTAGAACCTTTTCTGCTACTAACATGTAACTGAAATAATTTGTGTCAAACAATCTTGAACTTTACATTATGCTTTTCATGGATTATCAGTTTTGTAGTAATTTGCACCTATATAAGACATGATGCATCACTATTTAGCGTTTTTTACAGAAAAAATTACAGTATGCAGTTTAAAATGAGTCACAGGAATAATTAATCTTTATATAAATGATCAACAATATATGATTCATTTTTGTAGCAAAAATAAAGAATTTCAACAGAGTCTAAATAATCAGACATGCATGGTTATTTACAAACAAAATTAGGGCTCATTTTTAACTTGACATATTGCTTTAAATAACTTCTTGCTACTTGTCAGGCATCTTTCAAAATAACTTGCTATATCTTTATAATGTAGATAAAAATATAGATAGAATAAAACAAATGAGCTGAAACTTTAAATTTTCATAACTATTGAGCACTGATACATAGTGTATATCATCAAAATAGTCATAAATATATAACATTGAATTGGGGGTTGGTCAGGATAATTCAGAATACTTAAGATATCCAGATCAAACAATCTTAAGATATATTAGTGCAGAATGCAAATTTATATGTCATCGAAAATACACTGCTGGGACTGTAAACATTGTAAAAGTGATTGGTCAGACATGGGTCGTGTTCCTGTATGCACCAATCAATCAAGATGTAAATGTACATTGAAAGTTTTTATTGTGTGCAGTACTCATTGTTATTACCTAGTGCAACTTTACTGTTGATATCCCAAATTCTTCCCTGCCGCTTGCCGGTTGGTACATTGTTTAGGTGCATATAATGTTTTTGTTCATACACATTACTTTCAGAATGGACCGTAAACCACTCTAATTTATGTTTAATGCATGTTTTAAATGTAGAGGAATGCCACACATTTTACAGTCCAGATTGTCAGTTAAAACACCGAACTCTACATTTCTCCTGCCTTTTCTCCCAACATCAGTATTTGGTGTAATATTAATGTCATCCTCGTCAATCACTTCTTCGTGTATTAAGTTTGACATGTTTGGTATTGAATAAGGTGCACAAAAATTGGAAGCATACTGGTGGTCCAAATTTCGGTTAAATGTCCATCTGATCTACCCTTTTCTAATAGATTTAAGTTTCCTTTTCTTCCTCGGCGAATTAAATCCAGACTTAAGCTTTCCCATTCTTAAAACGATATGCAAAATTCAATTATATAAAATAGTTCAAAAACGTGTATAAAATATAGAAAAAAGTATTAAAACGCTATAAAAGTAGGATTGAAACATTCGTCGGAAATGTAAACAAAAATACCGGAAGTTCCGAAAATGTACTTTTATTGTCGATTAATTTCTTATTTATTAAAGAAACATTAAGGAGAATTCTGAAAACGAAAAAAAAGGCCTTTTTTCTTAATAAAAGCATAGATCTTTTTACGACATATCATTTTGCATAACGGTGCGCCAACTTTGCCAAAATCGTGACTAGCGAACATCCATAATTCAAAACTACGCTTTAAAACACTACTTTTTAACAGTAAACTCATCTTGGATACCAGGATTAAAATATAAAATTTTACGCCAGACGCGCATTTCGTCTACACAAGACTCATCATTGACGCTCGAATAAGAATAGTTAGAAAGGGCTAATAAAGCTACATATACAACATGTTTAGGAACAGACTTTATTTCACAAATTTAGGAGTGCAACAACAGGCTATTATTGACATCGATATCATATTATGTAACGGGAAGAATAATCAAACTTTATTGATCCCCATTTTGTAACTGTTTAAACAATATTAAATTTCAATAACAGTGACCTTTTACAACTATTAAGATCAAGTTGATGTTTTGCAACATGTCAATATAAAATTGAGAATGGAAATGGGGAATGTGTCAAAGAGACAACAACCAGACCATAGAGCAGACAGCAGCCGAAGGCCATCAATGGGTCTTCAATGCAGCAAGAAACTCCCGCACCCGGAGGCGTCCTTCAGCTGGCCCCTAAACAAATATGTATACTAGTTCAGTGATAATGGAAGTCATACTAAACTCCAAATTATACACAAGAAACTAAAATTAAAAATGATACAAGACTAACAAAGGCTAGAGGCTCCTGACTTGGGACAGGCTCAAAAATGCGGCGGGGTTAAACATGTTTTTTGAGATCTCAACCCTCCCCCTATACCTCTAGCCAATGTAGAAAAAACAAAGGTACAACAGTACGCACAGTAAAACTCAGTTTAAGAGAAGTCCGAGTCCGATGTCCGAATAGGAAACAAAAGAAAATAAACAAAATGACAATAATACATAAATAACAACAGACTACTAGCAGTTACTGACATACCAGCTCCAGAGCTCAATTAAACTGATTGAAAGATTATGTCTTCATCATATGAATATCAGGCACAATCCCTCCTGTTAGGGGTTTAGTATTATACCGTCATAAAATATATGAGAAGAACATAACCCGTGTCATGCCAACAACTGGTTTTAGAATAAATATGTTTAATTCCGATGGAAAAACCCTATAATTGAATCAATATTAAAGCCAAAATATGCAATCTTTAATGACCTCACAAAAGTATCGTAACTATATCCCTTCTTAATAAGTCTGTTTAAAGGTTTTGTTAGCTTTTTAGGTGAATTCTGACATGTTTGTGCTTTGTAAAGAATATTACCATAAAAGATTGGATGTGAAATACCCGAACGTATAAGATGTCTGCATGTTGAGTTATATTTACGAATGATGTCCTTATACCGATGATAAAATTTAGTAAATAACTGAATTATTTCCATGACTATAAAAATACTAATTTCCTTTATTTCAAACGGATACACAAATTACTACATAAAGTAAAACATTCAATAATAAAAATACTAATACAAATATCAAACTATTATACTGTGAACTATATGATATATACTTATGTATTTGAAGCATGTGATCTATGACTATTCATGTTTTAATGTTTCTTGTCCTTATTTGGTGTTGATTGATGATCTTCAATATTCCTCATCATTTATTTTGTAACTGTCTTATTTCTTGGTAATTCAGAGCTTACCTACAGGTAAAAATCGTTCGCTGAAGACCCTCCGAGATGTTAAGTTTAATTTTTAATTTAAATTTGTGTTTTTCGTTTGCTGTTTAATCAGCTGGTGCCTAATTAAATCAATCTCCATCAAATATGTCAAAAAAGTAGGCAATTACGAATCGATTCTAAGCACTGAATATTTCACAGAACTACTTTTTGCAAATTCAAAACAAGCTATGAATGGGTCAAAATAATATTTTTCTATCAAATTAAATTTCATAAATATGTTTTTATGTTAATGATCACCTGGGTACAATAAACAATGTAATTGTATGTACTGTTATCAATAAGTCTATAAAGCCAATGTAAAGGTTACAAGGACAATTTGTAAACATGCTAGCTTGAAAAATAATAATGTGCGATAACAGTAACCTTTTTCAGCTTTTAAGATCAAAATCATGGCTGTCTTTGCATTATTTCTTCAGAAATGAACCATCAAAATACATAATTGTGGAATAGACAATTACAAATCGGTCCAAGCTATAAATGGATCAAACCATATTTTCCTATCAAATAAAATTCCAACAATTTATTTTTTCTGTTAATGATAACCTAATTACAGTACACAATATAAGTGTATGTACTTTTGAAATCATCGCACCATGTAAACACGAATTAGTACCGTTTTAATTGCATCTTTAAATGATTTTAAACAAATATCAGATCCTATGGTTGATAAATAAGGGCAAACTTTAAATTAGCGAATTGATCTTTATCTTGAATAGGATCAGATGCAGTGAATGAACAACAAAAGAAAGGTGAAATATACCAAAGGGAGATAATCAAACTCATAAGTTGAAAACAAACTGACAATGCCATAGCATAAAAACGTACAAAAGACTCCGTAAAAATCAACATTAAAAGAGAGGCGGAGGATACCAAAAGAAGATAATCAAACTCATAAGTCGAAAACGAACTGACAATGCCATAGCAAAAAAGATGAAACGACTCCTTAAAAATCAACATTAACAGTAACAAAAAATATAAATGTTATAAATTAATTTTATTAATTTTTATGTACAGTTGTAGAAACGATGCCACGTGGTCTGTCTTGATTCCAAGATAAATGACAACACTATTCATTGACTTCAAACGCAAGAATTTTATACATAAACTGTTCCTATTGTCCAATCTCTCAAAAACATTTGAGTCCGTTCACGATGTAGTTTTACTGGTATCATTGTATAATAAAGTTGTCCTTAGTTCCTCAAAGCAATTATGTACGTCAACGCTGCTGACGTATACAAATTATCAAGTATCTTTACTAAACTCAGTCAACACTGCATTGATAATTTTCAATTATGCAAATGCAGCAAAATTTAAAAACCACACTTGGTAATGTGAGATACGTTTTATTCACCAATCAGAAACCTCTTTCTGTATCTGACAAGATGAATAAAACGTTGAACTCGAGCTCGGTCTGAATGATGATGACGTACAGTATGTGGATGGTGTAATGCATGATTGTACTCCTGATTGCGAAACGGGAAATAATGAATCGCTTCCGAACGACTGCATGACTAACGGAAATTGCGTTCTTATAATTTCGAGTGTAGATACAGGAGACTGAATAATTTGATGTGGGTTGTGAGGTTTGGTATGCATTAAGGATCCTTTGTATGTGTATGGGTAGAGTCCAATTTGCGATGATGTCATAGGTACATATCCATTATTATTCCGTGTGTAGAATTTATTAGATGAATCATCGGCAGTTATTACAGAACTTTTTCTAGCTCTTCGTCTTGCACTTCGGCGCCTGAAGTCTCCTTTTGAAAAATCCGCTATACATGCTAAGTGAATAGACCAATACTTGCCTTTGCCGTTATTGGACCTACCACTTTTCAGGAAGCACTCGTTTAGAGAAAGATTATACCGTATACTGTTTCTCCATGCTTTTTCTTTTTTATTGTAGAAGGGGAAATTATCCATTATGTATTGATATATGTCATTGAGTAACAGTTTCCTGTTTGGTTTACTCAGTATTGCCATTGAAATCATAGCTATGTAAGAGTGCGATGGCTTCTCATGGGTATCACTGGAAGATGATTCATTCTTTATTGATCTGTCTAACGATAACTGAACCTAAAAAAATGATAACAAATATAATAGAAAATAAAACAACAGATAAATATTAGAAAATAATGAAGAAATCAGTTGAAGTGCCATTATCATTCATTGAAATCTGAACAACAAAGTAAAATTTAGCTGTAGCTACGCTTAATTGTCAAATATATATTAATTAGATATCTAAGAAAATAAATATCTTTATTCTTTTAATATATGATAAAATTCCTCTCCCAATTTAAAGCTATTTTCATTTAATGATACAACATACATGTGCAATAGATTCATCACTGTCACTGTCACTGTCACTGTAGCTACTTTCACTTTCACTTGTCCAAACTCCATCACCCTCGCTTGAGATAGAATCTCGTTTGACTCTTTCGGTATCTCCTCTGTTCAAATGATAGATGTTTAAATGTGAATTCATCATGATTCCTAAATTGGGTGGAACAATCTTGTTGAGAGAAAATGACAGAATCACTTAAATTGTTTGCGTTTCAGATATATATATATATCACACAAACCTGTTGTTTTTTGCACAGTTTTTAATCACGTGATCAAATGTCATTGTTTTTCATTTTACGGGTCATATTGTTGAATAACATTTCTATATTGAAAAGTATGTTGTTTTTCATTTAACGGGTCATATTGTTGAATAACATTTCTATATTAAAAAGTATGTTGACAGTTGGCAGTGAAAATTGTATTGATTTGTTATCAAAAGAAAAGTATCAACATATCACATTTAAAAACAAATTGCTTGATAATAATTATTTTGTTTGAAAATAATAATATTGACGCCAAGAGTACAAAAAGAAAGAAAAATATGAAGACCTAATAGAAAGAAGTAGAATTTGGTAAACGAATAATTCCTACAGTAAACTGTAGCTTTACAACCAAAAAACTTAAACTATTATAGTTAAGGTTTTTGCCTTCTAATGCAAAATGAAAGAAAGAAGCGTTCAATTAAAACCATTATTAAGTAAAATAAAAAAAATACCGAACTCCCAGGAAAATTCAAAACGGAAAGTCCTTTATCAAATGGCAAAATCAAAATCTCAGACACATCAAACGAATGAAAAACAACTGTCATTTTCCTGACTTTGTACAGGCATTTCTCATTTAGAAAATGATGGATTATATTTTGTTTTTATAGTTAGCTAATGCGGGATAAAAATCTCAAAAATTGAAATTGCTGTGAAACTTTTTTCTTGTCGTTTGAACTTTTACAGTTTGTCGTCATTATTACAATTCCAGCGTCAAACGGTAACACCAGACATGTGTGGGCTTTGTGAACGCTCCACAATTTGAAAAAACATAGAAATTCAGGTGAGACATCTACATGTTTTGTTTATTATTTACGAAATCAATACCAATACATTCTTGAATTCAGAGTGTTAGCTTCCATTATTTGGCCCTTTTTACTTTTTCAGCGTCACTGATGAGTCTTTTGTAGACGAAACGCGCGTCTGACGTACAAAACTGTAATCCTGGTATCTATTGTCAGTTTATTTATATTAGTTACAGTCCTGTAAAACGTGGAAAAATTACGCCTTTAAAATATACGATGCTGTCAAATCAAACAACAGGCTGTTATCGACATCGCATTATATAAACAAACGAATAAACAAATTTTATGGATCAAATTACTAAACAGTTGGAGTATTATTTTTTTTAACGTTACAATATCTTTATTGGAGTATTATACAAGTTCAAAGATAGTAACATTTTACATTCTTAAAGATCAAGATCATGGGTTCTTTGCAATATTTTACCAGGAATGAACCATTTCCATATACTGTGAAATACTAGTGCTAGTCAAATGCGTTTTGTTAAAATATACTTTTTCACTCATTTGGTCTTTTGAAAAATGTTGTTTGTGCTGTATTTAGACCCCTCTACCAAGAAATTTGTTTAGCATGCACACGTATAAAAATTGCAGTTTTTATCCAACGCAATCATAGGTTTGAACGTTGTTTTCAATTTAGAATTGTATATATATATATAATTGAATCCTGTGATTTATCTTTTATAACTGCGGCCATGTAAGTAGGTTGGCAGGCAAAATCGAAACGCCTCCCAATCTTATCGCCCCAAGAATAATTATGGCCAAGTTCAGTGAAAATTGGCCAAGTATTTTCAGAGGATATCTTTAGGCAAATTTCGCTCGGTTTAATTTGTAACTCATATTTGTTTTCTCTCAATCTCTTTATGACTTTTGAACAGCGGTATACTACTGTTGCCTTTTTTTTTACAGCGATGACGCCTATTGAAATCATTAGCTCACGTACCACTTGACATTTTGGACCTGCTGAATTCAATAAGTTAGTCGCTTCCATTCTAAATATATGACCGCCCTTCCTCTGTTTCTTATGTCTAATGTCACTTTGTCTCTTAGTATAACAATTAAGTTACTACCTCTTCATTACCATTCGGTATGAAGGCCAATTTCTAAACACCAACGTCCTCAGAAATGGTAATACAGGAGCTATTTTATTCAGTGTATCAAACATATGATTCTCATTTTGGTACACTAATTGTCATCCTTTTTTTTAACACCATGATTCTAAACAAGGATCAATATTTAGGATATTTAACTATTTAGAATTCCTGTTCTCACTTGGATTCTTTCACTTCTTACTGATATGAAAATAAATAATAACATATATATTCATACTTAAATATTTGTGTTAAAAAGATACAAATAAGTATCACCTACTTATAAATAACCAATGCATTGCATCTAACTTAAGATGGTGTCTGTGATTGTCTGTACCCGTATGTAAAAAATTATTATCTGTATTTGGTGTTGATAGCTGATCAACTATAATCCGATGCTTTTAATTTCAAATTGTCTAATCTCTATGTGATAAAGAGCGAACCAACTGGGAATGATCCTTGTTTTTCGTTGAAAACCTTCCGAGATGTTTTATTTAATTTTTGGTTTTTTTTTGTCTTATCAATTTGCATTACATATATTCATCAATATATGTAAACATGGTATTATCAATGGGTCAATAGTAATATTTGCACTCAATATTTAATAAAGATATTCTTTATAAAATTCATAACAAAATATGAGTGGGTCGAAACAATATTTTTCATTCAAACAAAATTCCATAAATATATTTTTCTGTTTATGATCACCTTGATACAATAAACAATGTAAGTAACTTTCATGACCTTATCATGCTTATTTTGACATTTCGACAAATATCAGATATTAAGGTTTATAAATAAGGACAAACTAAAGACTAACGAATTGATGTTTATCTTAATTAATATCAGATGCAGTGAATTACCAACAATAGTATATTTATAACTGATATTAAGAAGTGTATAAGGAAAAAGAAAGGGTTAGATTGATAATTTTGAAACTTGTTTCGTTTGGAAATGAAATTATAGTAAAAATTTGGAGACAAATTTTCGCTTTTTTATTAAATTCTTAAAAAATTAAATTGCGCCTGGCGTACACAATATCAATCCTGATATCTATGATGCGTTTATTATACTTCCATATTTAGGTAAATTGGGTGTCTATGGCCATTTAAGACTGTATAATAGCTGAAAACAATCTGTCTAGATCTTAAATGAAATGTGCAAATTTTATTAGAAAAATGTAATTCATTTGTAAGACTTTTCATTTAAATGAAGAAAATAATGTGTTTTATCATACGATTCGATTTTTTTTTTAAACAGAATATTTTTTTGTTTAATTAAATGTTTTCCACTTTGCCATATAAGTGGAAATAACTCAGATAATGTTACTTTTATAAGAGAGTAATAAATTTGCCTTAATTATTTTGTAGCGAGTAAAACGAGTCCCATGAGCCAAATTTTGCTTTTATTTTCTGAAAGCACATTATAAAAGCTAACTTCTCATATTTTGTGTTAAAATTCTATCGTTTGGTTGTCGTCTATTCCACAAAATTGGGTTTTCCATGCATAATCTACAGAAAATCTGACAATTTTGCGCTATCTGTAGCTTGTAAAAGAGCCCCTTGGCTGACCCTTGTATTATATTTAAAAAAAAAGCATGATTTTAATACACTTTGCGAATTATCAAAAAAGATCAATCGATATATATTTAAAACTCCCATCTACCTTAATAGATCTCTTAAGTAAACCGATGTCTACATATAGCTGTATTATTAGAATATTTTAAGAATGTTTTCAAACTTATTTGTAAGTTAATAAAGGTCTTTTTTAACTTGGGAAAAGTGAATTTTCATGTCCCATTGATATCTGGTTAACCGATGACATGTTCGTACAAATATGTAAATTTGTCTTAAACAATAGACTATCGCTAACACCACATGCTAAGTAGACGGTACAGATATTTAAGTCTTAATATCTTTATAATGGACAAGCTTTATTGGTACAAAAGGGAACTTATAAAGGCTTATAATTCAATACGTCAGATGTGAGTTTAGTCTACATCAGAATCATCAGTGAAAATCGAATCAAACCAGTGTGAAGCCCAAATCAATAACGAAGTTGAAGAGTAGTAAAATCAAAAATAGCGAAAAGTTGTGCAACTGTAGCAATAAATGTATATATTGTCATATACAACATTTATTTTAATAAGTTGTTA